CAACAAAATACTTTAACTTGAGATATGAGTCTCACCTTTATCATATCATTAAAGCCCCTATGAGTGACACTCTTGATTATAAGTACCTCATCATTTGCATGGAAAAAACAATTATGTCACTAGGTTCCAACATCATATTAAGAAGTCAATAGGACACATTTTCAGGCAAGTAGAATATATGTCCATAAAACAGATAGAGAGAGAGGCACTTCCCTCTTTCCTGCAAATGTAGATAGTGAAACGAAATAAGAGTGAAATTGGAAGGGGAATTTTGAAATTTTAAATGAAGCCAATGCATTTCCAGAATGCTAGCATTTGTAATTATTTTGTTTGGGTAAATATTTCTTCAAAATGAAATTTAGGTTATTGGAATTTCATGGAATGAAAGAAATATTAAAGAAGAATAAAGATAAAAACAATAAAAAATGTCTATTAGACTATGGAAAGTGTCATTAGATTTGTTAAAATGTGTACTTATCATTAATATATAAAGATAACTAACAAAAATATATTTATAGAGTCAAGCTAAATGATATTAATTTTTTAGTGGTTTATATTTTATGGTGAGACATGTCGGATAATGTGAAAGAATTTGAAAAACCCCTTCTAGGTAGAATTTCAATAGGGAATTTGAAATGCTCAAATCTCCTGTCAAAAGTCCTCATAAAATTTGAAATTCCCCATACTACCCAAACAAGTAAATTCATTTTTGAATTTTTGACATCCTTGATTGAAATGAAATTCTCCTTCAAATACCTGATCCAAAATCACCATAAGAGCAAGCAAAATAAGTGTTCCTCGACTTTATTAGCAACATTAACATCAAAGGCACTCACCAGATCCCTTGAGAATCTTAACCATGTTTCGAGCAGCACCCCATACCACAAGGCAGAAATCCCTCTTAATACCAACATATTTGGCATATTTCTGTTTAGTGAGTGATAAGAGACATGAGGAGTCACATGGACTAATATCAACATGAGCCAGAACAACAATGAACCAAAGGCCGTGCAGCCTCGTGACAAAGATAAGGATGATAAAACAGAGTGGCATTTACTACTAATTCATATAAGTTTAAGAAAAGTAAAAGGGAGTTTAAAATCCTAGTAGGACATGCATGCACACACATATACATGCAGAATTAATTGCTTCTAGGACAAATCATTTGTAACCTATCGCGTTCCTTGAGACGGTGTAAAGGAAAACTAAATCAATGCAAAGATATTGAAAGTTATCAGAGTTGGATAACTCGCTTTGGGTGTTATATTTCCAATTAACCTCATTGACAGTAGCTTCATTGTCTCGTATAACAGCATTATGACTATCAATTTCTTCCCAAAATACAGTCTTTAAGAGATCACCTGAGTTCCCAACAACTGCAAATGTGCAAAACTGTCGTGGATGGAAAGGGGGTTTTGCTGGTAGAAGCATATTAAAATTTTCTTCACAAAGAGTTCGATTGTAGCATTTAGCAGCTCCCCTACAAGCCACAACAAACACAGTTGACATGCTTACATAATTCCAAAAGACAATTATTACAGCAATTTTGCTTAAAACCAAATCTTAGAATTGGAAAATATAAGCCATCGTATATGTGTCTAGAAAATCATACAATTGTGCAATCCTTTTTGCTGCATAGTCCAACCATCAGTCTGGCCGTACATCTAGATATTCTCTAGTCAAGACTGTTGTGATGTTACGGTACTGCATTTATAAAAACATCAATAGGACAAAAAACTCCTCGTTGGAAAAATATCCAAGGAAAAGGATTGTACATTAACCTGTTCCCACAAGAGAATGGCATCACAAATATCATAACTATACTCCAATGGTTCATAAATCTTAAACTGCTCATTATACTGCAATCATAGAGGCATAACAATAAGCAGAAGAAGGCATTTAACAAAAATGAAGAGAAAAAAGAGGGAGGGGGTGCATTATTGAGAGAAAAGAAAGGGAACCGAACCCAAGTGCTGTCTGTGCCTTCAGGAAACTTAAGAATCAGTTTGCAATGATCAATAATATGTGTAGTGCGCCCAAGTCCTCTATTCGCCTACGTCAAATTCAAGTTCAGTAAATTCAGACTTCCACAAAAAATATATAACCATTATCAACACAAACGCATATGATTCGCAACAAAATAAACATTTAGATTCAACAAAACTAATCCAAGTTTTTCTATCACTAATTCACTATGTTATGCAACATGGAATAGAAACAAGATGGGAACACCATCCTAGCTTTTCTTTTTATCTTATGACTTGATTTTAGCGAACATTTGGTATAGGAAAAGTGACTTCCATGTAATCACCTGTAAGAGTGGAGGGAATGCCAGCCAAATAAATTATTTATGATAAGAAGGGAGGATTTGTTGCATAGACTGGAAGGTGACCAGGGGCAAGTGTTGCCATACAACATAAGCATCTATTTTTAGGTGTTCATTTCATTAAGACATATAAGAAAGCAAGACCTATCCTAGATACTAGGTTAAATGGGGAGGATAAAAAAGAGACACACAATTATAAAAGAAGATACTTGCATTCAGTTGAGATAAACGACACAAAGAATATGATGAACTGAAGTCGTTTAGATGGTTTGATCACATAAAAAAATACAAAATGAGGTTTCAACTATTAGAAAGATGGAGTAAATTAACGTTGCACAAGATAAATAGTTGAAACCAAGATAAAACAAAAGAAATAATGGTTGTAGATAATAAAATGATAGGAAGAGGAAGATTGGTGTACCGAACTTAAATATTCTGTCTTGAATTTATGGCAAACAAAATCTAATGGAAATAAATAGAAGCTTAAAACTATTACAGGAAAAGAACTAACCACGCATTGTTGAACTCTGGTTTGAAACTCCGATAAAATCCTGACTTCCTGGGAATTGAGATCTGATACTCGCACTTGTTCTTTATTAAGATCTGTGTTTTTGTTAACAGGACCTGAAAACCAAGAATAAAATTAAGCAATATATAGAAATAAGTAATAAAGGCGGAAAACAACAATAAATGAAGAAGAAATACCTGAGAAGAAAGAAGACTAGATTCCGAAGATAAGAATAGAAAATAATGCAGCTGCACAAACAAGAGGGAGAATAGCGGATTTCTTTTGAGACTGAAACTGAGACCGAGATCTCATTGTTTTTCCACCTTCAGCCCTGCCACTGCTCTGTTTTCAGATTTCACGATTGGATTTATTTCTTACTGAAAGAAATCGGTGGGTATTAGATCACCCTGGACCTATTCCTGTTCTGATCTCCGAGTTTAGGGGTTGTGTTCAAACAAGCAGAAATGTTTGGAATTGGGATTCTGGGTTGATCTTAAATCGAGGCCAAAATCAGTAAAAGGAGGAAGAAGACGGAGTATTCTGTATTGCATTCTAAGACTGACACCGACAGTTCCACATTTTCCCGAATCTAAATCCAGCCCAAGTTATCAAATATAGATAAGCAAAGCCGAAGCCCAATCCCTTCCAAAAGGTATTGATAGTAAAGAAGAAGAAGAAGAAGAAGAAGAAGAAGAAGAAGAAGAAGAAGAAGAAGAAGAAGAAGAAGAAGAAGAAGAAGAAGCCTTCAATGAAAATGAGTTATGGAATTGTTAATTTGAATGAAAAATAACTGCTCTAAACTGATTTTACATGATTTCCTTCTTTATATATTTGATTTTGTGATTATCTTATTCATTTAATTAGGTATAGATCGGATCAGTCAATTATGATAAAATTTTTTGTCATTAAGCTTTTAAAAAATTATAAATAAGTATTAAATTTTAGTTTCATTAAAAAAATATTTACACTTAATTATTATTAAAGGTTAATGTGACATATTAAATTAATAAAAAATATCTTGTTTGCTCCATCATTGCGATTAAAATTTTATTTTTGATCTTTTTCAATAACTTTAAGTAGTAATACCAAAAGTTTTAATTTTTCTTTAAAATATATGGATTTTCAAAATTTATTTCTGAAATTATAAATATATTTTTAAAATTTATATTTTAAACTATTAAACAAAAGTTTAAGAATTGAATCACGTTGTTTAATAAAAATAATAATTTCATTTTCATAACTGAAATTGTTGGATCTCAAAAATTATAAATTATAAATTTTTAAATATAATTACAATTAAATAAAAATAAATTATAAAAATTTGTGAATTAATAAATTCATATTTTTTAGAAAAATAATTATAATTTTATGAATTAAAAGATTAATTATAAAGTTATAATTTTAAAAAAGTACTTTTATAATTTTAAAATTTAATCGTGAATATATATATAATATGTTTTTTAGAATTATTACTTCAAATTAAAAAATATCAAAATAAAATTTAGTTTACAACTGAGAGTTTGAATGAGAATTTAACATGTTACATTATTTCTTTAATGATATTTAAAGATGTGATATTCTTTTTACAATACAATTGAGAGGTAAAATGAGATATTATGTAATTTTTAAAAGTTTAATGTCCAAAAGAATTATTTTAACATAGTTTAATGACCCTTTAAAAGTTTTACCCTACAAAATCATGCATTGTAGAATTTTCAATGTATATTATATTTAATAGATAAAAGGACTTAATTATGTATATATATTATTACAATTATCTTTAAACTTACAAGAAATAATTATAACATTATATCATCGAGTCCGAATTTTTCACTTAAAACCCAATATGACCTGAAAATACTTAACCCAACTCAATCTGAACATGAATCTCAAAAGAGTGCAAAAGTTTAACAATGGTTCATTCGTTCATCAATTTATTTAAACCATGTGATAGCTTAACCATGAAAGTTTCTTTAATAGTATTTTATTCTTAAAATTATCTTCTTTTTTTTGTTGGAATAGGATCGATATAAAGTAGTATATGTTCAAAATCTTTCTCAACAATTGACAACGCATCCTGCAAACACAACTGTTTGAACGTAGGATCTTTACAAAGAAAAATATTCTCTTTTACCATCGAAATCACTCAATAGATTCTACATGTACATAGATTCGTAGGTTCCAGAGAATAAGAATAAGCCGCAGCTGCCTCCCATGCCATCGATCTTGCAAAGCCTTCCCTTGTGAGTATTTTCATAAATGAACAGAGACTGAACTTACAAAACTAATGTCTACCGACTAAAGTTTAATCATTCACCAACTAAATGAGATGCTCAGCAGAAGAATACTAAATAAACCAAATGCCAACATCTCAAATCTTTTACATTCGTGATTGTGTTACTGAACAAGGTCAAATGACATTTACCTTCTCATCCTTTGCCCGTCACAGCACAACGATCAACGAGTATGCATGTCCCTCGAATCATATAGCTGCATGGAAAAACACTTGAGATTTATGCCAGTGCCAATAAAATAAACGAAAATCGGATCATAATGATTCGACAAAGACAGACCATTCACCATAGATCTCAAGTTATCCATAGAACCTTCTCAACCAACTTCATCACTGAATGTTCTTAAGCAAATGCTCCACCATAATTATCTGTTGTGCTGTGCTCAGAGACTCTGACTTCATGATTGCATTAGCAACAATAACAATGATGTCTGGAGAGGTAGCATTCACCTTCAATAAAGTACCAACATTAGAGCAGTCTTAACGTTACAGAAATTTTGAATTGATGAGGGAAAGGAACCATAACATGCTAAAAAGAAAAAGGCAAGATACAGCTTAACCAACTGCAATAAAAATTACTAACTCAAAGATCATACCCAAACCCGACCGTTTAAGCCAATAGCTATTTCAAAGGAGAGTTTCTTGCCAAGAGCCTCAAGAATCGGACATGTTGGTGAACTTAACAGCCTGTAAAACCAAAAAGTGAGAGAGCTAAGACGGGCAATGATAAAAATAGAAAGTCAAGTATCTCAAATAAACATAGAGAGCTGACTCACTTTCTTGATAAACCAGTTGAAATTTCAAACATGTATCCATCTTTGAGGGGGCCAAATTCAGCAGCTTTTCCACTGACTATACACAACAGACATTAAAGGTTACAAAAATAAGACAGATACAAGGAAAGAAGCCATCTATTTGTGCAAATGTAAGGGCATGTTGACTAACCATCAGTGCAGGACAATTCAGGGTTCATGCCAAAGTTTGCCTTCACAACACGAAGATAAAGAAGAGTACCAACCTGTAATGAAAAGAATTATACAGAAACATGTGTGACTGAGACAAGATACCACATTAATAATTGCATACATGTGCACACAAAATTCAGAAAACAAACCAATTGCTAGTTTGTAACTTCAAGAATTGCGAGAATTAATCTAAGAACACTTTTGGCAAGTTACACATTGGTGAATTGATGCATAAAGAAAGGAAATTCAGTTGAAATATGATATTTGCATAAATAATCACTCTATGATACTCTGATTTATGCCATCTAAACTTTTGATAAAGTTACACAAACATCAATAAATCAGTGATGATGTACCATGAGTCCGGAAGGTCCAAGGTCAAACAAGATAACTGGGCTTGTTTTCCTCATTAAATAATGTTCCTCCAGAAGGTACAATCCAAACAATCCCGTTGACAATAAGATTGAATTATGAAAAGATTCCACTAATGTGTGTCCATGAGTTACTATGGCCTAAGAACATCTCGATGGAATGCAGTGGCTTGTAATAATCAACAAACATGAAATGAAAGTATCCATACCTCAAACTTTGGTATATTCCTCCTGGTCCCCCCTTCAAATGCCAGCACAGGCAAAAATGCCAAAGCAGGTCCTTTGATGTCAATCAGAAAATTCTGGAAGGAAAAATGTACAATAAAATAATATGAGAAAAAGGTAATTTTCATTTCAGAAAACCAGGTGTAGCTTTTAAAATTATGAAATACAAGGAAAATAATATTTCTAAGCAACTCATCAAAATGTGGATCATTGCAACTAGAAAGGACATGGTCGACAACCATATTTAAAACAAGGTAAAATATATAATTAGTTTCAAAGCAATTTTTTTTGCCAGTGTTAGTTACTTCAAGATGCAGAATACTATTGTTCAAGTGTCAAACAACCTCCTCCATGTGATTTTCTGCTTTCTTCTTTCATTGTGAAACCCAAACAAGTTCCACTGTACAAGGTAACACTGGCAGTCATAAAGTTCTAGCAGTTTAAATGGCACCATGCCACAGCAGTTGCACCAGTAGTCAAATTCTCTCCTCGTCAAAAAATAGTAAATAGATTCTTGTTTGATTAAATATTTCCATTGAGGTGGAAATGCAAGCCTAGTTACATGAAAGAAAATCAGGTGACTGCTATCGAACTCTGAAAATGAAAGCCAACCTTGCATTTAGCCAAAAGAACTTCTGAGAGAGACAGGAAAGCTACTGGTGCTATGTCACCATTATTAGATAGGCAATCTTCATAAGAACTTGACAATGAATCACCAGTGCTTCACCTTGAGTATAGTCTCTCAATTTTCAGGCTTCAATAGTCTTTGAAAAAAGGGGCAATGCTAGAGTCTTCAAGTTCAGTTCTCTAGTGAGCATGGGTAATTCATATGGCTACTTGAGAGTACCATTGACAAACCTTTAGGCAGTAGGCATTTAAACCAGCAACATTAGAAAGTGACATCTGGATCCATTTTTATCAAGAAACTAAATCAAATTTTATGTCCTCCCTAATTCATTGTTTACCATACCAAATACTCATTTTCAGCTAAATATCTCAAATAACCTTATTGAGATTTTTCTCACTGAATCAACTGTTTGCTCATGGTGCATAACAAGCACATAGATATTGGCGTTTGCCATCTTTTCCCCTCTATGCTTGTCCTTCTACTGAAGTCGATTGGAAGCAGGAGGGAGGGAACGAAACTATGCAATAGAAACCAAATTTAACCAGGTACATGCAAAAGCAGCATCTTATGTGGAGATTAACTGTTTTTCAAAAGCCTAATACCAAGTCCTACTGAAAATCAGTTATCACTTACACATTCTCATAAGATCTCTCAAAATTTTCATATACTGGATCTGTGGGATTACAATATGATCTTTGCGAATAAGCTCCAAAATTTCCAGTTTGTTTCTATCAATTTACATAAACACTTCTCTATGACAATTTCATGCAATCTTCTTTTGCTTTTCACTCATCAGTTGAAGAGAATAAAGAGGCAAATTACATTATTACAATAAGGCACTATTAACATAGTTGTACTTTCATTTTTCCTTTATCCTGTTATACCTAAAGACAGTTGGTCCCTCTCTTTTTGCTAGCCCTTACCACAGAACAGCATCACCAACCACTCTTCATGGTTGTAAAGACAAAATCAGGAGGAGGAGAAGAAAAACTAGAAAGAACTCTGAATTTTCTTTGCATAATATATATTACCCAACCAAATACTCCATAGGAGAAGAACCAAATTGATTTCACTCCCCTGATACACCACCCATCAGAATATAATACAAATACAAATATTTCATGCACTAAAAAGACAAAGCGAGCAATTAAAGTATTTAACTTCATACGATACAAAGAAAAAGCGAACTGTCAAAGCATTCAACATTTAGTTAACAACTAAAATAGGACTTACATCTGCTTTAGAGTCTACCACAATACCAAGAACAGTATCTTCCACGCAAGGCACATACTATATAAAGAAACAACGAAATCATAACTGTGATACTGAAAATAGGGGGCACAATAATAAAAATGTTTTCATTAGCACTATAATTAAGGAATTATACAAGCATGGAGCTAACCCTTTTTTGAGAACTTTCAACCCAATATTTATTTGGTTTTGAGAATCTAAGTGTTCCAGCCTTCATCACAGAAATAGCATCACAATCCTAAATAAATAAAAAAATTCATCCACTTTTCATTATCATCTATTAAAAAAATTTCAAAGACCAGACAAAAAAATAGATACAGGGATCATGAGAAAAACAGACAGACCTGACGGAGACCGCCACCTATCTTGATGGTCTGGTTGGTCATGGAGGAGAGGTCAAGCACCACATCCCCTGGAACCTAATATATATATACACACAAACACACACGTGAGAATTGGATAAACGATAAAAAATCAAAAGCATGCAGGTAAGAAAAATAGAGAAAATCATAACTTACTACAGTCGAATCAATGAAGCCTGCCGGCGAACTGGACTTCTTGTTTTCCATTGAAATTTCTTTTTTTCCTATTTTGAAGCTGACAATTCTGTTGAACGAGCGGAATTGGTATAAGCAAAAATCATCACCAATTACAAAAAAACTAATATAACTATAATGCATCACAACAAATGTTTAGTGAAATCACAAAACTTTGCAACAATACTCTTCTGAAAATCATCAACACAACACAAAATGCCCAAAGGAAGTTGAATCATTCGAAAGATTTCTAACAATTCTCATATAAGATAATGTATAGTGAGAGAACTATGGAGAGAAATAGTGAGAGAGAGAGAGAGTCCGTCAAAAGTTTGGGTCTTGGCAACCGTAGAGAGGTTCATGGTGGAATTATTTGGTCAGCGTTCGTTGATAATCTTAGCAGGAGAGTGAGTCGCAGTGATTTATGGGCTCGTTTTAGTCATTTTGGTAAGGTTATTAAGGTGTTCATTCCGTTTATCAATAATAGACCGAAGTATAAGGTAAGCACGTTTGCTTTCGTCCATTTTGCAAGTAAGGAGGATCTGTGTAATGCAGTGGATAAGATGAACAACGCCCTGATTGATGGGAGGAGGATTTTAGTGGCTGTAGCCAAATATGAGAAAATATCTGGGTCGAAGAGACAGAGAGATGGGAGGGCTGATGGAGTTAATCGTGCTGGTATCAGTGGGGGAATGGGTAGAAGATTGCCTCCTCAAGATGACAGGGTGAGGAGGATGGAGATGCTGGATAAGTTTCATGATGGGAGGTCCTACAAGGAGGCGGTGGTGGGGGTGTATAAAGAGCCAGAGGGTGAGCAAGAGGGTATTCATGTTAATTCGAGGGAGATGAATAATACTAAGGATGTTTCCATCCCAGTGGAGGATAGGGTCTGGCTTAGATCGTCTCTTACTGGTATCTTCAAAGATATTTTTGAACTTCATGTTGTGCAGAAAGCGTTAAGGAACGAGGGCATCAACGTAAAGGTTGTTAGGTGGGGCTTTGCTAAGAATGCGTGCCTGGTTGTGTTCCAATCGGTGGAAGAGAAGAAGTTAGCAATGGAAGGAAAATGGGAAGCTTTGTCCTTCTGGTTTGAAAGGTTGGAGCCGGTATTGGATGAGGAAAGCATTCCCCGAGCTTTTTGTACGATCTCCATGATAGGAGTTCCTTTAAATTGCTGGTCGGTTCCGTTCTTCACTAGGGTGGTATCCAGGTGGGGAAAGTTAGTGAAGATTAAAGATGAAACTGCTCAGAGAGCGGACTGCAGAGTTGCACAGATGCTTCTTAGGGTAGTCAGCCCTTTTGACATCCCTGATCATACTTCAGTTACTACGAATGGAAGGAAATTTCTAATAAAAATTAAGGTGGATGGGGGGATGATTTCTTTCCTGATTTTTCAGATCTGGCTGAAGAGGTTGTTCCAGAGAATCCTTCGGTGGAGAACTCCTCCGGTTGGAACACAGAGGATGGGCAGGCACAGCATGGAGGTCACGTGGAACGTCAGGAAATGTCAGAAATCCATAATAGGGTGCTAGAGTGGGTTGCAGACTCACAACGTTGTAATGTCACAGATTCCGAGAGAGTTGACTTCTCTCCACATGAAAAGTCGGAAGATCTTTTTGAAAGTAAGAAAAGCGGGAAAAGTATGGGGGGGGATCTTTTTAAGCTTGATAATGTTGACCAGGAAAGTGGGCCTAATTCAGGCCTTGGAGGGATTCAGTTGACTGGTCTGGAGCAAGAAAACTGCCTAAACTCTATGGGCCGTAGTCCTTTTTCATCAGATACAATTAAGGACTCAGTAGGGGTTGAAGTTGGAGGAGGGGCTCCGGTTGGTTTAAAGTTGATAAGTTTAAGGGATGGTTCACAAACCTGCTCTGCAAGTTCGTTATCCATGAAGACTGCTCCGGTTGGAAGGAAATTCATCAGAAGTCATAATAAAACTTATAGTAGGTCGAAGTCTAGAAAGATTTGGAATCAGGTTGTGAGAAATTGTAATAAGATGCAGGATTGTAAGGAAAAGTCACGAGGGGTGTTCAATGGTGAGACAGGAAGAGCTTTAATTTCTAGAGGTTGTCTTTCTGATGTTCCCGAGGCTGCTGGTTTTTCGATAAAGGAATGGGACAGTTCTTGGGCGAGCAGACCATACAGGAGAATTAAAAGGTCTCTATTTAGGGAAGCTGTTGATCATGCTAGTGTTGATACTGTTTCCTCATCAGCTTTTCCTTTGTTGGTTGAGGAAGCGATTGCTACATGGGAAATTAGTAAGATGCTGGGGATATCTTTCAAGGAGGGGAAGGAAGCTTTTATACAAAAGATTGTTGAATTGGAGAAAGGGTTGTGTGGGGCTATTTGACCTGGAGATTTGTATGTGGGAGTTCTGGGTTCTGTTTGTTTGAGTATCATGACTAAGCTAAGTATATTGTCTTGGAACGTTAGGGGTTTGGGTAAAAAAGAGAAACATAGAGTGGTGCAAAAACTTGTTTCTGTGAAAAAACCGTCGTTTCTTTTTCTTCAAGAAACAAAACTCGAAAAATTACCAATGTCGTTTTTAAGGAGGAGTGGTTTGAATGGGTTGCAGGGGTCCGTTGAGTCTCCAGCAATAGGTTCATCTGGAGGTTTGTTAAGTTGTTGGGATGACAATTTTTTTGAGATTGACGATCAGTTTATTCATAGGAGGTTTATTGCTGTTTTTGGAAGGATCAAGTCTAATCACCTTAGGTGTGGCTTCATTAACGTTTATGGCCCGTCTGTGGAAGAAGAGAAGGCTGCTTTTTTTGATGAACTGGGATTGTTTTTAAACGGGTTTAGTATTCCTTTGGGTGTGGGAGGGGATTTCAATGCCTATTTGAACGAAGAGGAGAAGTTAGGCAGAGGTCATAACAGGAATTCACTGGAAACTTTTAATCATTTTATTCAGCATACGGGACTTATTGATCTGCCTCTGGTTGGGGGGAATTTCACGTGGAGCAGTTATCGGGATTTGCCGACGGTTGTAAGACTAGATAGGTTTCTGGTGAACTGTAATTTCTCAGCAGAATTTGCCGGTATCAACCAGTTTCTTTTGCCTAAATCTATCTCCGATCATAATGCAATTTTCCTGGAGAGTGGGGCAGATAATTGGGGTAAGAGACCCTTTAGGCTGTTCAATTATCTATTGTCTGAGGATGGTTTTGAGGAGATGGTTGTTGAGTCTGTTAAGCGGTTCAAAGAAGAGAATTCAGGAGTTGGAATTTTGAGTATGCTTAGGAATACAAAGTCTGCCATTAAGTGCTGGTCTGGAGATAGAAATCAATTTCCTCGATTGGACATCTCTATGTTAGAGGACAAAATTCATCAGATTGAAAAGGGGATGCAACATCATCCTCCTTCCAATGATGTTGTCATTTCGACAGAATTGAGACTGTTGAGAAATGAACTTTGGAGACTTCTTAGAATCGAAGAGCAAATTTGGGTTCAAAAGTCTAGAGAGAAGTGGGTCAAAGGTGGTGACCGTAATTCAAAGTTTTTTCACACATGCGCTTCCATTAGGAGGAGGCTGAACTCTATGTATGCTTTAAATGTTGATGGTGTCATCACCAAAGATCCAGGCCTTATCAAGTCTAGGGTCAGGGAGCATTTCTTTAAAGCTTTTAATTGTTGCTCAACAATGGAAGTGGAGGGTATTAACTTAGATTTCGCAAAAATTTCTCTGCAACAAAACCTATTGCTAGAGAAGGAGTTTACGGAAGATGAGATTTGGGGGACCATTAATTCTTGTGATAGTAATAAAGCCCCTGGGCCAGATGGGTTGAACATGGGTTTTTTTAAGACCTTCTGGCTTAGTTTGAAAGGCGATATATTGAAATTCTTCCACAACTTCTATTTGGGTAAGGAATGGGAGCATGGTATTAACCATTCCTTCTTAACTCTCATCCCGAAAGGTTCTAACGTTGGGAGCTTAGATGATTTCAGACCTATCTCACTTGTAGGTGGGATGTATAAGATCCTATCTAAGTGCCTTGCGAGTAGATTGAGATGTTGCATCAATGATATAATCAGTGATTCTCAATTTGCTTTCATTCCTGGGAGACAAATTTTGGATTGCTCTTTTATTGCTAATGAAGGAATTGATTTATGGAGGAAGAGAGGGTTGAAGGGTTGTGTATTTAAGGTAGACTTTAAAAAGGCTTATGATTCGGTAGATTGGGACATCTTATTTAAAGTTATGGCGAAGATGGGGTTCGGTTCTAAATGGTGTAGTTGGATCCGGATGTGTGTCAACTGCTTCGGTGTCAGTTTTAGTTAATGGGGTTCCTACTGATGAATTTCCTATGGCTAGAGGCCTCCGGCAGGGTTGTTCCCTGTCCCCTCTGCTGTTTAACCTTGTCGGAGAACTGCTTAACCTGTTGCTTCGTAAAGCAGTATCTTCGGGCCTTTTCAGTGGTCTGGTGGTTGGTAAAGACGAGGCCTCAGTCAACTTATCTCATTTGCAATTTGCTGATGACCTAATCATTTTCTGTAGTGCTTCGAAGACCCAGATTGTTAATGTTAAGAGGATCCTTCGGGTGTTCGAATTTATGACTGGTCTGGAACTGAATCTGTCTAAGAGCAGATTATTTGGGATTAATATTAATGAGGAAGAGCTTCTTCAGTGGGCTAATGCTATTGGATGTCCTGTAGGACATTTTCCTGCAGAATATTTGGGGCTGCCTCTTGGTGCGAAGAGAAACTCTATGATGTTGTGGGATCCGGTAGTTCAAAAGTTTCATTCAAAGCTAGCCGGATGGAAGGCGAAGACTCTATCAATGGCAGGGAGGTTGGTTTTACTGAAGGCAGTTTTGGGTTCCCTTCCTATCTATTTCATGTCCCTTTTCAAGATGCCTTCTTCGGTGAGTGTTAAGCTGAATTCCATCATGGCAAGATTCTTATGGGGAGGAGGAGTGGAGGCTAGGAAAATCCATTGGGTCAATTGGACAAAAGTTTGCTCTGATAAAAGTGTTGGAGGTCTTGGTGCTATGAATATAAGTCTTATGAATAGAGCTCTCTTAGGGAGATGGTCTTGGAGGTTTGCTAACGATAAAGACTCAGTGTGGAAGAAGGTTATTTGTTGTAAATATAATTTGGATCCCAGTTTACTGCTGTTTAACGAGAAATTTCCTACACATGCTTCTTGGATTTGGAAATCGGTGGTCCTCAACCATTTCAAAAATGATCAGTTTGGAGCAAAGTTTCGTAGCAACTTTAAAGTCAGAGTGGGTGATGGAGGGAGCATTAGATTTTGGTGGGATAGTTGGGCACATGACTCCCCACTTAAAGTGATTTTTCCGAGGTTGTATGTGCTGTCTATAAATAAGTATGGGAAGCTTTATGAGTTTGGGGAATTTCGATCTTCTGTTTGGTCTTGGCATGTTAATTTGAGAAGGAATTTGAGTGAATGGGAATTGGTTCAGTACTCTGATTTAATGACCCTAATCCACAATATCCCTCTTTCTCAGGAGTTATCGGATGGGTTGGTCTGGTTTGGCAATGGGGAAGGTGTCTATACTGTTAGTTCGAGTGTTAAGTCATGCAGGCCTGTTGGTATAACAGACCCCTTTTGGAATAAGTATGTTTGGAGGGGAACGGTGCCTCCTAGAGTGGAGGTCTTCTTGTGGCAGGTCGTGCACCAAAGATTGCCAGTTAAAGTTGAGCTACAGAGGAGAGGAGTTTCAACTATTGTGGATGTTGCTTGCCCTTTTTGCGGAGAGGCGGATGAAACCTCAGCACATTTATTCTTTTCTTGCTCGGTGGTGTGGTCCTTATGGAATAAATTTTTGATTTTCTGGGGAGTTTCTTCAGTTTTTCAAGACAATGCTCACAGCTTTATGGTCGCTTGGGATGAATTGGTACCTAAGTCGAAAATTTGGTCCTTCATTCCGGGGGTGGTTTTATGGACAATGTGGAAGGGTAGGAATGCAATTGTGTTCGAGGGGGGGAAGGTAGATCAGATTGATTTATTCTTTTTGGCAAGATGTAGACTGGCTGCTTGGTTCTTAGCTTACTACAAGGCTGTATCTATCCCTAAGGACTCTCTTATTTGTGACCCTTCACTTGGGGATTGTTGCTCCTTATTAAGCTCTCCTATTATCAAAACGGTGTCCTGGTCTAAACCTCCAGAAGGATTTATTAAGCTGAATGTGGATGCGGCTGTGACTGCAGATTGGAGGAAGAGTGGTGTTGGGGGCATTCTTAGAGATCATGATGGTTCGGTGGTGGGCTCTTTTCAAGAGGCTGCTGGTCCAGGTCCTCCAGTTTTGTTAGAACTAAAGGCAATTTTGAAAGGGTTATCTTTCTTTGACTCGCTTCAGCAGCGGTTTAAGGAAAGGTTAATTGTTGAATCAGACAGTAAATTAGCAGTGGAATGGGTCAAGGACATCAACCGTTGTCCCTATGTTTACTTAGACATTGTGACAGCTATTGGTGGCAAGGTTAGTGGACTGAATAGTAGTATTAGATGGATTGCAAGGTCAGCCAATGTTGAGGCTGATAGCTTAGCTAAGGCTGGTATTGGGTAGATCTTTGGTTTTTAGTTGGGTTTCTATTAGGTTTGGGTTGCTTATTTGAATGATTGATTGTATGGTTGTTTTAAGTATCTGTAACTTGTGGTTATCAATGAATTAATGAGGCACTCTTTTCCTCCTTCCGCTGATTAAGGAGCACCGTGTGATCCGTTAATCATGAAGGGGGTTTTTAAAGAGGCCTACCTTTCCTATCAAAAAAAAAAAACTATAATGCATCACCAAATTGATATATTGAATTGAGCTCTAAAAAAAATATAAAGCAACACCAATAGTCTTAGCTTATTTTAATGCAAACCTATGGTACATAAATCTCAATATTTGTTGCCTTATATTACAAGATTAATCTAAGAGTGTAACCCCTAAACCCGACCTAGAAGGAATTAGATCGAATCTAGAGAGTCTAATTGAAATAATTTTCCCTCGAGTAAACCATGATCAATTTAAAATTACTATTTAAAATAAAATAACTACTCTCATGTTCAATAATTCACAAGTTACTAAAATAAAATATCCGCTTATAAATAATAAATATTTTCAACTCATGCAAAAATAATCTAAAATACTGTAATGTCCAATGTCCCATATTACAATAAAATAATCACGGGGTAATATATGCAAAAATCCGATAAATGAAAATCAAACCAAATTCATACTGAAATAAGGTTTATCTGAAAATAAGTGTGATTCTCCAAGTATCGAATCTCCCAAGACCAATTATATGAAAGAGAGAAACTAAGGGGGTGTAAGCTCATAAGCTTGGTGTGTTTCTAAAGTGCAAACAAACACAAGTCATAACAAACTTCGAATCAACCAATATTAATCATAGTCCGAATCAAACAGTAATATTCATACGTCAAATCAACAACGGTAATCATAAATTTGAATGAAATGCAAATGCTCATGCACTCGCCCGTACTCCTGTCACACCTAGATTCTAGAAGAGTGGGTTCCCCGGAACCACACTAATTCCAACCCTCACACCATATGAGTGGGGTCCGCCACAAAGGCAGAGGCCACTGAATCCGAAAAAGTAATATTCACCACGTCGAGTGAACACAATGAACTTCCCCTATCAAAATTAGTCCCATCATGACATGCAAATGGCACACATATCCGATATCCGATCCGATCCAAATAACTCATCCGAATAACACATACTCGAATATCATAAATCCCAATTTCGATCTGATCCGAATGTAATAATTACATAACCAATAATCCGAATGCATCTCACAAATTTTTAGTCCGACATATCAACATATTTCACATAAAATACATTTCCAAATTATATCATATACAACAATATCACAACATCCATCATGCTCGAAATCAAACTTCTAATCAACATGCTTATTTGAATTACAATTAATTCACCACTACCACCTTGGTTTTAAAAAGCGTAAAGCGCCCTAAAGCGCCTAGGGTCCTAGACGCCGAAGCGCTAAGCGCTAAGCGAAAGCGCTCGCTTTATGCACAAGAAGCGCCAGAAAGGCCGAAATTCACAAAAAAATACAAAATATTTATAAATTATCTTATAAATACTTAAATATCAAAGTGTCAATACCATATATTCAAAACTTATAAGTACTTAAACACCAAAATATAATTCTCAATTTACTTATAACTTATAAGTTATAAACACTTAAATACTTATATACGATTAACCATACGACTATACGAGCATACTAATCTCAAAAGATGGTCTACACTAAAAGTAGTCTAAAGTGAGATGAACAAAAGTATTTTTCTAAACCCTCAATTCCTTATAACTAAAAATCCTCTAAATCGTCATCGTCATCAACTCGGACAACACCATCTCCTTCATCACTAGACACTCCAATATCTTCTTCCATCTCATCTTCATCAACTAAGCATCTACGAGATGGTCTACTAGAGATAGGATTATGAGAAGGAGATTTTCCTTTATCATTTCTCGATGGTCCCGCTCCATCATTCACTACTTTTGATGCTCTAGTTAGATAACTAGGCTCATATGCACCGGAAGCGTTAGCAACATCACTCTATGTCAAATCCTCACCAACAAACACCGCCTCATCATCATCTTCATCTTCTTCCATTCTTCCCATCAACCACTCATTGCTCTCATCAATATCTTGCAAAAGAATGGGATCGGTCTCCTTACTTTTAGCTCGGCGCTCCAAGGCATGATTGAATTTCACAAACACCATGTCATTCAATCTAGATTATGCCAATTCGTTTCTTAGTGTGAAGCTACAAGAAAAAAAAACCAAAACTGATAATTTAATAGCCCGCTAAACCTAAATAAGCCCAAAAATTGTATCTGCTAAAGCCCAGAATCGTATCTTCTAAACTCGCGATTAAGCGCCGATTAGCGCTTTGCTAAAAGCGCTGCAAAAGCGCCGATTACTACCGCTTAATGAATTCGTAGTGCTTTTGCTATGCTGAAGCGCCAGGGGCCTCGCTCGCGTCGCTTAGTGCTTTAATCGCGCTTAAGCGGCGCTTTTTTAAACTAAGACCACCACAATACAACCATGCCTCAATCAATTTTTCAGTCAGGCAAACAATCAATCACTCAACATAATATAGCACCGGGAAGAGACACACCTCAACAAAAAAGCTATTGTCGGTCGTAGCGCCTATCACGATCAAATCGAGAAGCGGTTCGACTCGAATCAGTTCCTACGAATTAATCTAATAATTAGATAAATAATCTAAATAACTAACAAATCTAGAAGACTAAAAATATTAACTATCACTCCCGCTCAACAAGAGTAGTACGGTTCGGTTCGATGTTCGTGGGTAACACGGAGGCGGCTGTAATTCGAGTTCCTAGTCAAAGTCTCCTGCAAAATTTACAACGCTCGAATTTAATCTCAATCCAATAATTTTTCATATACGAACTAAATTGTTAACGTCGAAAATAAAATAAATTCCGTCTCAATCGGGAAACCGCCAGCAGCTCTGAATCGAATACATAATTACACCGGTAAATCGGAAAGGAACTGCCGTCGACGATGGCGCACCGAAAGCAGTCCTAAGGACCGGCGAACTCACGTCCAGCCTTGCCATGGCCTTAAACGGCACTCGATAGCGGTTATCGGAAAAAAAGAACCGAACAAAAGGGTCTTCCCGGCCGAACAGCGCCGCTCAGCCGCAACCCATGCCATCCGAGACTTCCCCGGTAAGAATCCGGTCACAATGTGGCCATAAACGGCCAAACCAGGCGGCGGCGACTATAATTTTGCGAGCCAAAGCTCATTTTCACAACCCAGCGTCACTCAACGACGACGGGAAAGGACGGGGAACTCACAGTCATGGATTAGCGACCTTACCTAAGACTAGTTGACGGCGATGAGGGAACGACGATGCAATGGTTTTGGAAAAGGAGGGTTGCTGGCGCCGCACGGGTTATTACAAAGAAGGGAGGTTGAATTTGTTTTCAATTAAAAATTAAGTTAACTACGAGGTTGGTCATTAACGTTTTAGGGTTCAGGAAACTGGTTTAAAATTTTCCATATTTTACAATTTAGCCACTAAATAGAAATTAGGAATTTGAAGTAGAAATTCTGAAAATTTAGGGTTTTCAATTCGGGGGGAAATTGGGGTGTTACAAAGAGATTTTGAGCAAAAGAAAACTAACAGTGGTGGTTGATATGGGTTAATTTCAGTAGCTGACGACTTAACTGTAGGTAGAGCAACCGAGCAAAGAAAGTTAAGGGAAACGGAGATGTGACCGTCGGTGAATGGAGGCTGAGAGTGAGAGGGGTTGTCGGGCTGAGTGATCGAGTGATTAAGGGGCTAATGTCTATTTGCCTTCAATCCTCCTTTACAACTTTCTTTTAGGGTTTAGCTTTTATTTCAGTATTTCATTTTGCTATTTTTATCTCAATTTTTAAAATTTATTTATTAGGAAGTAAATTTTAATGTTGGATTTAGATTAATTTTATAAGTTTAGTTATTTAAGTTTAAAAAATTATTAATTTTAAATTTTATAAGCTTATTATTTTTAAGGTTTAGAGTTTTATTTATAGTTTAACATCAAGAAGTTTATGTTTTAGGATTTAAATTTATAATCTAGATTTTAATATTTATATTTATAATTTAAATTTTAGAATTTAGGGTTATAAAATTTAAAGATTTAGAGTTAAATGTAAGACTAAAATAAGTAAATTGTATACACATTATGTGTACCAAATAGTTGGATGAGGTTATAACGTGGTGTTGATGTGAAAATTGACATGTATTGCCATAGAATTCAACAAAGTTAGGGATTTTCTTCATTCAATTTCACCAGTCGTCATTTTTCAACATCGTTTGTGATCAGCCAAACATTGAAAAAAAACTCATCCCATCTTACCACTTTACCGTTTTGATTTTTTTAAAACCTTTTTAAAACTCACAAAATTAAATCGAAAAAAAATTATTTTAGAAGTCAAGGCCTTTCTTAAATTCGAGTGATGGTATAACACTAATTTTAGTTAGGAAGTCTTACGGTCCCAACAAAGTGAACACATTGGGTTAGCACATCATCAACAATTACTTGAATGCTCAAGAATTCACCTAATATTGCTTATTACTATGTAATGAAAGATAACCAATAGTTATCTACAATTCATTGCTTAGTACTTTGTATTGTGTAATGAGAACATTTTTCTTCTTCTTCTTCTTCTCATATTGGCTTCGTATTAAGATTTTCAAAGTCTCTGGAGCTTTGAATGCCATAAAAAATAGAAATCAAAGATGAAGCTTATACTAGTTTTGATTAGACGCCATCATAGTATTAGTTACAATATCAGAAAGTGACCAATATTAATCAAGATCTGCTAATCATTAAATCAATATTAATTTAAACATTTTACCCTTAATTTATTGGAGATTAAAAGTGAAGCAGAGAATATATTGCTTGGGATTAAAGGGTAAGGTTAACTAAGGGTTAATAACTCAACCTTTAACACCACTACCCATTGTTCACTTTTCTTATTATGATTCACCCAGATCTTTCATTCTGAAATTATTATTTAGTGTCTCCTCCAACTATTTTATCATTTCAAAATTATCTCTAGTAATCAACAGATCATCAATATAAACCAATAAAATCACTACATTATTGTCTTGCTTTTAATGAACAATGAGTAATCATATTTGCTTTGTTCATGTCTTGTTGAGATCAAACTTATCAATTTAACATTCCATTGCCTGAAAGTTTGTTTGAGATCATACATGAATTTTTGCATCCTACAAACCATATTCTATATGGCTTCAAAATCATTCAGAAAGATCCATAAAGACTTCCTCATGAAAATCACCTTGTAAGAATGCATTGAAAACATTCATCTGATACAATGGCCAATTGAAAGCAGCATCAATGTAATACCCAAAAATTGTGGATAGTAACCAAAATGTAATTTTTGAAAGTTTAGTGGCCAAAGTGTAAACTTGAGAAAAGTTTTGGGACTAAATGGTAATTTTATCGAAAAAAATATTTTATCTTGTAAATTAATAGTTTACCCCCAAGAATATTTTTTAGTGTCACTTAGATTTTTCGTACGGAGTTTGTATAAAAGGCTATAAAGCGATAAAGTTTGAGAAAAATTCAGATAATTGGATCGAATCATATTTTTGAGATATTTTGAAGGATGATAGGGAAAGGTTAATGATATCATTGTCATATTTCAAATTGGTATAATTTAATACGGATCATTGGATTTAAGGTTGATTTTTCATGTTAAATTGGGATTGTTAGATGAAAATGACAAGATTTCAAATTTAAAAAAGTACAAGGGTAAAATTGAAATATATGAAATTGTTGGTTCATCTTTGACTTTTAGATGAACAAAATGGACATGTGCCTTGGTACTTATCATGAGAATTTAAGGGCGAAATGGTGATTTGATATTAAAATAAATTTTTAATTCATTTTAATCATTTATGAGACAAATGGCATTAGATATTTTATTAGAAAAATCAAGACTTCATCTTCTCCAATTATCCATTTCTGTGATATTCGCCAAGGTAAGAGAAAAAAAATATTTTTTTTTTTAATTTTCAAATCAAATTATTGGGATTTTAGATGACAACATGAAATACAAATTGGATCTACATAAAATTCTCTATCATTTAATACCATTTGTTCATGTTTTCCTTATTTGGAACCTTGGTTTCATGAATTGGGTGGATGAAAGGGAGGATTGATTTTGATGTTCTAAGGTTAGATTTTGATGTTGTTGATTTATTTCCATGTTTGTATGATGATGGGAATCATTGAAATCATCAAATATACACCATTCGACCATGTTAGGGATTTTATGGAATTTGGTTGCTTGATTTGAATTTGATATGTGAATGATTGTAAATGCATGAAAATGATGTTTAGAGGTTGAATTCATGTTTAAATCAAGTTGGAAATCATGAATATATCAACACTTCATATTTGGTCATTGTAGGAAAAATAAAGAAAAATATGGAAAAAATTCCCTAAGGTTGGAAATGATGTATGAATTATTCTACAAGCTTTAGAATGTTGTTTGGATCAATTTGGAAGTTTATAAAGTGTTGAGGACCAAATCACATATTATAAGAATTATGGGATTGAAATGGAAATGAAATGGAAATTTATTAGAAGTTGATATGTAATGTTTAAACACGTTGTTAGAATGCTTAATTATGTTATTTGAAGCTTGAATTGAAGTTAAATGACGAGGAACCATTTTGAATATTTTGGAAATGTTGAGGTGGATTCTAAAAGAATTCATTTTGTTGGTTGAATTGTGAAATTTGAAATGTCATGTAAACTATTTATGGATGTGAATAGTAAAGGAACTTAAAGAGTTAAAGTTGACATTGATTGTATGAAATGGAATTAGTATGGAATAAGCATTGAAAGAATTTTTAGCAATTTTTATGCTAATGTGCACCTATGATAGTATGATAGTAACAAGTTCTTCGAAATATATATATGTTTAAAAAAATTATGTTCGTATAGATCGTGATCGAAATAAAAATAAAAGCAAGCTTGAAGCTAAGGAAAAAACCCAAGAGTGAAACTTGAATTGCTAAGAAAGGTTTGCAAGCTAAGTATATCAGGTGAGTGCATTTTTACTTATTATATATATATGATATGATGATGATTACGATGAGTCCACCTCAAATGATTTGGAAAGAAAAGTATTTAAATTGAATATTTATAAAGAAACAAAAATTTTACCAATTTTCGAATAAGGTATGTTTTAAAAGTGTCATGTGACATTTCTGACTCGTATTCGGTAACGGATACGAGAAATGGATGTTACAATCAAGGGCAAGAATTAATCTAGAAGTTACCATCTTCACAATATGAGAAAAACGTATCAGATAATCCACCCCTTGGCGTTGATTCTACCCCTTAGTAACCAGATAGACCTCGTAATGTTCAACCTCTCCTAAAGTTTGATATTTTACCATATACACCCACTTACAACCAATGAAAACCTTACTTGAGGGTATGAGATGATAGACCAAATCTTATTTAACTGTAAAGTATGAATTTCATCTTTCATTACTTGAACCTAGAAAGTATTCTTAATAGCCTCAAAATAAGTATATGGTTCAACAATTTTTGAGGTAGAGGAAATAAAGGCTTTAGTGTGAAATGGTAAATGAAAAATAGGGTTAACAATTCTAGTGATGGTAAAGATTGGCAGGAGCACACATAATCTTAGAGCTTAAATGGAGACCTAACAATTCTATAGGAATTTGCGAGAAGGAAAAGATTCATTAGAGGTAGTAAGAGTATCTTAATTTTCTATAGGATGTAATAAAGACAATGAAACTGATGTTACTGACGATGACACTTACAAAGCTAATTGAAGTGATGTATCATATGGAAGTGATGGAAGTGTTGCATTTGTTAAAGTAGTACTAGAAACAAGAGAGGAAGAAAGCACAAGAAATCTCTAATCATGAGAGTATGGAGTAAGAGGGAAAACTAGAATAATTGTTTAAGGACATTTAAAAAGGAAAAACATGTTTTAGGAATTTAGTATATCTATTGACAAAGAAGAACTTTTTTCTCAAGATTATATAGAATATAACCTTTTTAAATTTGAGAATATTCCATAAACACAAAGAGGATGACTTTTGCAAAAAAACTTATATTGATAGCCAGGTTTAGTAGCATAACACAAGCACCCAAAAACTAAAATGGAGAGAAATCATGCTATTTTTTTTTTATAAAAGACCTCAAATGGGGATTGTCCCCTAAATTTTGATTGGAACTTTAGATTAAAATTGAAGAGCCCGAGCAACTTACAACAAATGCTTATACTTTCGCTCAACAACTCCATTTTGTTAGGGAGTATCTACACTGGAACTTTGATGAACTATACCTAAGAATTTCAACAAGGGGGAGCACATTGAATTAAA